TGCCTTCCTTCATTGGCCTGACCAATCTTCATCTTTCTCTCCTCTTTTCTCATATCATCTCCTCTTTCTGCCTTCCTTCATTGGCCTCACCAATCTCTCTTTCTCTCCTCCCGATCTTCACTGATCTTCCAGAGTAGTGAAACAGATCCTCACAGATCTTCACTGATCTCGGTCCCGATCTTCACTGATCTTCACTGATCTCTCCACTGATCTCAAGCCCGATCTTCCAGCAGAGTAGTGAAACAGATTTTTTTGGATGTACGGTGTATGTATTTTTCTTCACTAATTTTTTTTTGGATGTACGGTGTAGTGAAACAGATCTTCACTGATCTGTAATTTTTTTTCATTCCTGATCTTCCACTGATCTCAGAGTAGTTAATCCAAAAATTAAGGAAGATGTTTGTTTATTAGTGTAGAGATGCCCGATCTCCCTTTGTTGATCTGTGGGCTTGAGATCAGTGTAGAGATGCCCGATCTTCCTTAATTTTTGTTTTCATTTCATTCATCTCTACCCCAATCTTCTTAAACAGATTGACTAGTTTTTTAATTCATCAAGTGAATTAATCAGTTTTTTTTTTCTGTGAATCTGTTTGATGAATCTGTAATTTTTTTGGATTTGGATTTGTTTGAATTTGTTTGATGAATCTGTAATTTTTTTGGATTTTTTTTTTTTGTGAATCTGTTTGATGAATCAAATTGACAAACAGATAATAAATTTCTTCTGTGAATCTGTGAATCTGTTTGATGAATTGGCTGAGTTGGCATGAAGGGAGGGAGGGAAGGAAGGAGGGAGGGAGGGAAACCGTTGGTTTTGGCTGAGTTGGCATGAATGGCAGCTGCCAAAGCTTGTGTCAAATTTGACACAAGTTTTGGCATTTCTCAAATTTAACAGCTGCTATGTTTTGCCATTGGAGTATCAAAATTCAATGGCAGCTGCTACATATAGCAATGGCAGCTCCAATGGCAAACCATCGGAGATGCTCTTAGAGAGGGTGAGTCATCAATTTAGAGGCATCATTAGAGGGTGATTCATCACCCAGGTCATGTATCTATACAAGGGGGCAGTGAAGTCAGTAAGGAACAAAAGGAAAAGAATTTGAAGGCATCATTACAGGGTGATTCATCATCACCCAGGTCAGGTCATGTATATATAGAAGTGTGCTGTGAAGTCAATAAGGAACAAAAGCCAAAAAGAAAAAGAAAAAAAAGAGAGAAAGATAGAGGAGCAAGAAAACAGTACGAATAGCAGGAAAAAATAGAAGGAAAATAATAAGAAACAACATTGAGGTGAGTTATCTTATATTTTAAATTATCATAATATATTTTATGTATATTTTGAGTTATAATAATTTATTTTATATAATTTGTGTTTTATAAATTATATTAATATTTTAATTATGTTGATTATTTTTTGAACTCTATTTACTTAAATTGAAACCTTTTGATATGTTTGTTTAAATTTTAGAAATTATTTGATAGTAATTTTATAAACAATTTTTTTTTATAAGTACCACCACAGGAGTATCATGTCTTGAGAGACTTAAATAAACCATTGATTTATGATATGTTACATTTTGACCCTCTGTTTGTCATAGATCCATTGATCTTTGTTATGTTTGTCACTCCAATGACATCTGTTTTATTATGTGCCGTGATTATGGTTAGTGATTTACATAATTTCAGTTTTCCCACTTAAATGATTTAGTTCCTCAAAATAAGTTATTTTAAATATTTTAGCTTAAATAACTATCCATGATTACTTTGTGCCCCTATACTATTGACATAATATTTCTCACTCTCCTATGTGCTTATAGCCGTTACCCTTTTAGGTGATGAGATGTAAAGAAGAACTGTAACCTCGTGTAGTGAGACCCCACACGGAATTTGATGCCAACCTGTTGCATTTTCTTTTTCTTTTTCTTTTTTTCCTTAAAATCTTGTCACCCAATGTTTTAAAAACTGGATCGGTGAGCGAACCAGAAAAATGAATCGGGTGGATGGGTCACCGGTTCAAACCGGAATTGAACCGTGAAGATAAAACTATAAGTAATAAAATTATAATAATATTATTAAAAATATTAAATTATCTTAAATATTTATCCTAATATTTTTTTTACTTAAAAGATATAATAATATATTTTAAAATATTATTAATTTTAATTTTGAAAGAGGAAATCAAATATTTAATATTCCCTCCATATGATTTTAATTCAAATAATTTGATTGAAAGAATAACAAAAATTTTGGAGGGATATCAAAATTTCAATATTCCCTCCAATACATTTAATTAAATCCCACATGAATATCTTGAGTTTTTTTGAAAGAATTTTTCTTCTTATAAATAGGTGGAGACATTCACAATAATTTCAAACTCCTAAATGGGATTCCTCGCAAGAGGAGACTTTTGAAAGACAGTTTTCAATTAAAATTTTTTTATATTCTTATATATTATATGTATATATATATATAATAAGAGAGAAAGAAAGGGAAAAAAAAAAGTTAGCAGAAATAAAAAAAATTAAAAAAATAAGAAATTCAAAATCCATTAACTCGGTGAATCGGCTCCGGGTCGACCGATTCACAAGTTCAACCATCGGTTTTCTTGGTTCTCTCTAAATGAGTCGGTTTTTAACTTCGAACGGTTTCGAGGGTATATCCGGACCGAAATCCCGACCGGCTGACGGTTCAACCAGTCGGTCCGATCCGATTTTCAAAACCTTGTTGTCACCGCATAATAAAATAATAAAAGCTCCATGGATGTATTTTCAATCATTAACAAAGTAAATTTCTGTTTAATTATTTTCTTACTTCCATTCTGCCTCTGACTGCGCCATTTAATTTGTTAAGATTATAATTAATTAATAAGTTGTGATTCTAACCCTAAGCTCTTGGGATTTGGTCGTGACAAAAATAGTCACAAAATGACAAGATAGACTAAAAAACTAATAAGATAAAATGTAACATCAAAACCATAGTCATTTCAATTTTTCTCTCACAAAAGTAAAAAAAAAATCATTCTAAACGAAACTTTTTAGTACAAACTAAAATAGTCAAGGGTAAATTACAAACACACCCTCTGAGATTTACTTAAATTACAAATTACACCTATAGTTTTAGAAATTACATTATGTCTCCTAAGATTTATAATTTCATAACAAATAAGTCATTTAATTAATAAATCATCAAGTTAATTAATAGTTTTAATAATAGTAAACTTTTATTTTAATTAATAATTTAGATAATTTTATTATTGTATAAGTGAATAGATAGAAATTTTTTTTTAATTAATTATGTTAAATAAAAAATTATAATAAAAAGGTATTTGTAATTTTCTAAATTATAAGAATAATTCGTATTTTAAACAAATTTGAAAAAATATATTTGTAATTTACTTAATAGTTAAAAAAATCAAAAAGTTACTTTCCAAATGAAGGCTATCTAAGCTTAAGTTTGGGCTAATTATCTCAATAGACTTCAACATCCATAATTGGGCCTAGGTAGGCCTGCCCATTAATCAGACCCAACCCAACAGAATTTCAGCCCATTTTAAAATTCTGGTCTATTTTGATATGATGCTAAAAAGTAATCAATGTGTTTGGTTTGAGTTTTTTGTATTAAATTTTTTGAAAATTGAGTTTTTTAGTTGTCGTTTTTAGTGAATGTTTTTTAAATTTTAAATATTTTTTTCAATTTTTTAGATACACCTTAGTTAGATGTATCTAAAAAGTAAAAATTTTGTAAAAGAATATTTTAAAAAATTAATAAATACATAAAAATATAAAAAATGTACTGAATTCTTGTAAATTTTTTTGTATTTTTGGTATTTAGTGAATTTTAAAAGATTTTTTTTATAATTTTTTTACTTTTTAGGTATATTTATGTTAGGTGTATCTAAAAAGTAAAAAAATTGTTTAAAATATTAAAAAAATTAAGTAAAAACAAAAAAACACGAAAAATAAGAAAGTAGAATTTTCTAAAAAGTATTTTCTAAAAAATAAAAACAAAGCAAGCTGAATTTTTTTGACTTTTAATCAAGTTTTTGGTTTTTTTAGACAAATAATTTGAGAAGTTGATAAAAAATTACTTTTGACATTTTTAATTAATATTTGTTTAAGATGTCAAATCATAATAAATTAACAAAATTATTTCATTTAATTTAAAATATCTACAACTTTCCTCATGTAGAACATTTTGATCCATGAGAGGTAGAATTATAATTTTACCAGTGATTGAAAACCAATTTCTCAAATGTCTTTAAATACAAAAAAATTTAACTTTTAGCACATTTTAACTCATGAGAAGTAAAATTATAATTTTACTAATAACCCAAAATTAAGACTCTGTTTGGTTGTGATTTGTAATCAATTTTTTACACGTGTGTTTGAGTATGATGTTTGGTTATGGTTTTGAAATCAATTTTCCACACTCTCTGCAGAAAACTTTGATGCACAGGCCGTTTTTTTTGTCAAAATTTTGCATGAGGAAGTCCACCCGAAAGACCACCCGGATGTCCTTGGGGACGTCCACCCGGATGTCCTCTGAATTCCAGATTATTATTATTATTATTTTTTTTGGCAATTGATTTACATACTCGGGAAAAATATTTTCTGAATTTTTAAATTTTTTTTATGTGTTTTAAAATAATTTTGAGTTGTATCTTTAGTTATGAGTTGTAAATTTTTATATCACATATCAAATGTCACATCAACAATTCCCCACTCAAATCAAACCTCTTTTTCAAAACTATTTTCAAAACTATTTATCAAACAAATTTTTTACACTCAAATCATAATTCTATAACATACAAACTCAAAATAAAACTCACACTCTCAAATCACATTTACAAAATACAACCAAATGCAGCTAAACTTCTGAAATATCTTTAAATACAATAGATTCAACTTTTAATTTTTATTATAAAGTCAACTTCCCAAAACACCCCTCGCTCTCTCTCTCTCCACAGCTTCGGTGATGCGCGCTCTCTCTCTCCACTACACCGAATCAGCGATTTTCTCTCTCTCTATATACATATTCTCTCTGTATGCATGTATAGCCACTGTGCTTCTTCAGATTCTCTCTCTCTCTCTCTCTCTCGATCTCGATCTCGATCGGTCACACAGTCTTTTTTTTCTTGGCTTCTGTTTGGACATTTCTCACTTTTTTTTTTCCTTCAAATCTCTGCAAATTCAGCAACTTTTTCTTCACTGCAGAACCTTCTCAATTCCTTTTCAAAACGTCATCATTTTCTTCGAATTGTCCCTTTCAATCTTTCTGAATTCGAAACCCTAGCTCTTAAATTCGCAGATTCGACTTTCTTTTGTCTTGATATGGAGAATCTTTGTTTCTGTTTCTGTTTCTGTTTCTAGTAATAGGGTTTGTTATTGGATTGGTTTATCATTTGTTTGAGCTCAAAGGCATGAATTGAAGCTCGATTTCTGGAGATTTGAAGGTTTGATTTAGGGTTTTTGTTATAGAAAAGTGTGAAGAAATGGAGAGGTACGAGCTTGTGAAGGATATAGGATCTGGGAATTTCGGTGTGGCGAGGCTTATGAGGAATAAGGAAACGAAAGAGCTCGTCGCCATGAAATACATCGAAAGAGGGCAAAAGGTTCGTGTGTAATTGACATTTGAATCATAAAAGCACACAATTGAAGATTTGTAAAAGTTTTGGTATTTGTTTCTCACACTCTCTATTTAGGCAAAATCTCAACTTTTTAGCGAGTTATTGAGATTTTCTAAGCTGTTATATGTCTCTATTTGCTCTTTTGAGGTTTACTATGAATTTTGTGTGGTGGCAGATTGATGAGAATGTAGCAAGGGAGATCATAAATCACAGATCGCTTCGTCATCCTAATATAATTCGATTCAAAGAGGCTAGTACTGATCCTTGGGTATTCTAGATCTTATATAAGAGATAATCATTGATTTTTAATTTGGGTTTTTTGGATACACAGGTGGTTTTGACTCCAACCCATCTTGCTATTGTCATGGAGTACGCGGCGGGTGGTGAGCTCTTCGAACGAATCTGCAATGCTGGAAGATTCAGCGAAGATGAGGTTTTCTAGCAAATCCAGAGTCTATTTATTTATTTTGTAATCTTTTAAAATTATCTTTATATTGTGATTTGATGATGTTTTTCTCTTTCAAAACTTTCAGGCTAGATACTTTTTCCAACAGCTTATTTCAGGAGTCAGCTACTGTCACTCCATGGTAATTGAAATTTAGGATAAAATAAAATCAGGAATGCATGTGTAGTTTTCTTATTTGGTACATAGTTGTCTAACAACATATTTGCTATATTTCTTCTACACTGCTATTGCAATTTCTTAATTATTTCCAATTGTGCAGCAAATATGCCATAGAGATTTGAAGCTGGAGAATACCCTGTTGGATGGAAGCCCAGCACCAAGACTGAAAATTTGTGATTTTGGTTACTCCAAGGTTTATATCATTAATTCAAATAAGACCTGCTTGAAAGACAAATGCATCTACTTATTGTCATTGTACTTTTTTGTTTAGTCATCTCTACTGCATTCGAGACCCAAATCAACAGTTGGTACTCCAGCATATATTGCACCGGAGGTTCTTTCTAGGAGAGAATATGATGGCAAGGTAACTTTCTCTCATCTTTATTTTGTATGATGCACACACAATGCTTAAAAATGTAACCGGGTCTATTATCTTGTAATCTTTCATAAAATGGACATTTGTTTGAGAAGCAGTCTCACTTTATCTGTTGATTCTGAACCAACAACAACCAAGTTTGGTTTCTTTACACGTTTGCTTGCTTATGCAGGGTTTATATATGGGTATATTGAGCCATGTATCCTGTCTGAGTTTCTGTTATAGCCTTGCTTTATGTTCATACAGAGGGCATCTATCTCCATTCTTTTAAAGTCATATTTCAATTGATGGATTTGAAATGAGGGCTTTAAGAATTCAATTTTGTAATATGTGGGAGGATTGGTTTTAGGATTGGACTGGAAGAGTTTGAGGAGGGCGGCAATGTAGAGGTAGTGTAGGTTCATCAATGATAGTTCTTTTGCAATTAGCATCCTACATGAGATGGATTTCAAATAAGTCTCTTTACATTGTTATTTCAAATCCTCTGATAAAAGGCTCTAAAATGAGAAATCTATCCCTGGATCTTTTCAAAATCAAATTCAAAGTTACGTCCTTAAAGAGTTAAATCCAAATTTGTGTATTTCAAATCCATTGATCCGAAAGCAAACTTAGGACTCCTCTTTCTCATTTCATTCATATGCCTATGCAATAGTAAGTTATTGCACAGACTAAATTATTCATCATATAATCTCTGCAACAGCAAAAATGGTTGAACACATCTTGTGGACAAGTTAACTGGATTATTTTAGTTTCACTTGTTTACCTGTGGATGATTTAGCAACTATTGATATGAAATACAGTCAATATTAAGTTACCATTGATCAGAAATGCCTTCATTATATCAATCTTTTGTGTTACTGAATAGAAAGCCTATTTACTTGAATGCCCATGGAGATGTTCGTTGTGTGCATGGGCGTGTGTTCGTTGGTTTTGGGTAGAATATGAAGATTTCTGACTTTGCTGGTTTTTTTAATTTCTGTGTGTTTGTCCAGTTAGCGGATGTATGGTCATGTGGGGTGACCTTGTATGTAATGCTGGTTGGAGCATATCCCTTTGAAGATCAAGAAGACCCCAAGAATTTCAGGAAAACTATTCATGTAAGTTTTCCTTCTTTTTGGTTTGTTGTTCATTAATTATTTTATGGTGATTATGTCACTTATGATATGAGTTTTATGTCGTCGTTTTCTGCAGCGAATAATGGCAGTTAATTACAAGATCCCTGACTATGTTCATATATCTCAAGATTGTCGACACCTCCTTTCTCGTATATTTGTTGCTAATTCAGCCAGGGTATGTATGTTGTTTCTAGAGATTCAATTAACTTGTTTTTTGACGATTGGAATGGCACCAACCTTGGTTGCATCATCTCAGCTTCTATTGCCAAGTTGGATTTGTATTTACAAACTAAATGCGTTAGGGTACTTCTCTTTTTTCTCTCTCTTGCAAACACATTTTTTAGGTGTAATATCCTTGGAATTATTGCTACTAATTGCATCATGTTATGTGGACAAGAAAAGGTATTATTGTCACATTAGGTCCTGCAAGTGCTTGCACTATGAATTTCATGCAACTCTATCCTATTTCTGTGGGCTTGGGTAATGGCCGTTGCTCATGTATTTTCTGGCTGTCTAATTAATCTGTTTGTAGTTTGGCCGTATCATCATTTGTTTCCCAAAACTAAACAGAATACCTTATATCAAACCCTTGGCGAAAAGATGTGTACCCTTATTTCTAACATTTTGATTGCAATGGTCAATGTTTGAAGCAACGATTTAAATCTAGTTATACCTTGTACCAAATTTCTCTATCTTTTATTTTCCCATTTTCGATGTACCCTCCTCTCAAATTATTATTATTTTAAATAAAAAATAAAAACCACCAAAATTGCCACCGTTATTTTCTTCTTTAAGGAGTGGGATTTTGTAAATATAGATTGATGCTATCATCCCTAATCACATTGAAATGTATTATACGCCGAATGCTTGAAGGGTCATTTTTTTCCTCATATGTTTGCGCACTTTGGTATTCTTCCAGTGATGTACTTTGGACAGTCTGTTTTCATGAAAGTTTTAGGCCATAACCCTTAGCATATGAATTCCGACTCCGAGCATGATGTACAAGTGCTCGGAGCGGATCTAGATATGCTTGGTAACTTCTCAAACATGAGCTCCAATTTGGTTATTATTACAGTTCTAAACTTTGCTTGTTTTTGCAGAGGATCACTATTAAGGAAATTAAAAACCATCCATGGTTTCTGAAGAACTTGCCAAGGGAACTAACTGAAGCAGCTCAAGCCATGTATTACAGGAGAGAAAACCCGAGCTTTTCCCCCCAAACTGTGGAGGAGATTATGAAAATCGTGGAAGAGGCTAGAACTCCTCCTCCGGTTTCCCGCTCGATTGGAGGTTTTGGTTGGGGAGGGGAAGAAGATGAAGGAAAGGAAGAAGAAGAAGACGAAGAAGCCGAGGAAGAAGAAGATGAAGAAGACGAATATGATAAGACAGTTAAGGAGGCACATGCTAGTGGAGTTCATCTCCCCAGAGATGATTGATTTGATGTGTTTTTATTTGCTAGAGAAAATTAGAGCCTTTTTAACTTTGGTATCTCTGTTGTCAGTGTGTTTTCGTGGTTATAGAGTCAGTTCAAACTGCTTAGGAAATGGGCTTGAATAAGAAAGTCTGTAAATTTTATAGTGTTTGTTTGTGTAATGCTATTAATGTTGAACTTGAAAGTTGGGGTTTGAGTGGACATGGTTACTCCTGTGAGAAGTCTGGTACACAAGGGTGTACTACCATTCTCAAGGGCTGTGCAAAGAATGTGGAATTTAGGTTTGGGAGCTTTTTCTCCCTTGCGACTGCTATGTATGGATGCCTTATCCCTTATTAGTAGCCATATTAATAAAATATTTGTTTGTTTTGTAGCTTTCTTTTTATTATTTGATTATTATTTATTTAATTTGGTATTGCATTTTTGGGTACATGGTTGTCATGTGGGTCTCCTAATTGAAGGTTAATGATGGGTGGGTTGGTTTTTCTTCCTTGTTCCGTGTACCTGAAATTGTGCTTCATTTGGCTTTTCTTGGTTTGTGTCTGTTGTGGGTTGAGCTGTAAAAAAAGGGTTTCATATTTGTGTTGTGGGTTTGAGTTGTAAAAGTGTTTTGGGAGTGGTTTTCTGCATAAGCAAACAGAGGATATGCTTTCCTTGATATTGTTGCTTTTGGGAACCTTCCCCCGTTGGTGCTTTGGAGACTGTTTGTTATAACTTTTAGGGTGATTATAACTTATTTTATTTTGAAAATTTGTATCAAATTATTGGATGCAGTTTTTGCTTATAGTTTATTGGGCAGAAATAATTTAAATAAGTTGAAAAAAATTGATTATTTAAAAGTTAGAGTAGGAATGTTTTAATTTCTGTTTTTTAATTATTAACTTTTAACGTAAAAAAAGTTTCACCAAACAGGGTCATGGTATGTATTTAAAGTTGGTTTGCTGTATTTTGTTTTATAATTTACTTTGGTTTTATTTAGTTGTTTAACGGCCCATTTTAGAAAATATATTTTTTAATTTTTTAGCTGCTATATTTGCGGGAAGGGGGGGGGGGGGGGGGAAAAATAGAATGATTTTTAAAATTTTTACGAAAAAATATGTAAAAAGTATAATGAATGGAAATAAATCTTTGATTTTTTCGTATGAATTGAAATTTTTTTTTGTTTCTGTTTTTTTATTTTTTGGCTAAAATTATCTCTTCTCAAACGAGGACTAAATCATTGAATTACCATACCTGCTTTCTAGACAATAGATAATTTGTTTTCAATAATATATACTTGTATTTATTTAGTTTTTAAAATATAATAAAATCATATAATTATACTTATTATTAGACTAATATAATTTTTTAACAAATGACTTACTTGAATATAAAGTATAAAAATATAATTTTAAATTTTACTTTGAAAATATGACTTCACAAAATTTAATAACTTCATAAAATAAGTTAAAAACTACAGTGGTAGTTGTAAAATGAGATTTAAATGTCTGTTTGATTTGATTTTTTAAAAATTATTTTTGAATAAGTTTTTAAAATATTTTAATCAATTTTTTGTACTTTTTAGATACACCTAATCAAGATGCATCTAAAAAATAAAATAAAATGGATAAAATATTTATTAAAAAAAAAAACTAAAAATGGACAAAAATTCGAATTAAAAATTGTGTGCATTTTTGTTTGGGTTTTTATTTGTTTTTAGTGATTTGTTTTTTTTCATATTTTAGTAAATTTTTTAAAAAATTTAAATGCATCTAATCTTTATGTATCTACAATATTAAAAAAAAAATTAGTTAAAATATAAATAATAAAAAAATCAATAAAAACCCAATTAAAAATAATTTATGAGAATTATAACCAAACAAACACATTTTAAAAACCAATCATCAAATTCCATTGGCCATTCATAGATTGATGGTCTTACCATGTCGGCAAAGCAACCATAATGGGACTCAAGACCAAGATGCATGGAGTGGGGCCCAATAGGAGAATGACATCCTCACCAAATCTTTATTCATAATTTAGCCTCCGTTTGGCAAGTTAGGTTAGGAATTTTTTTGACTATTTTAGTCACAAAAAATAAAATAAGTTATTTTAACTACAAAAAATAAAACATCACATCTAATCCATAATCATTACACTATTCTCTCACAAAAAAAGTCAAAAAATCAAAAAGTCAAAAAATCCTTCCCAAACCAAACTTTTTAGTCCACGCTAAAATAATTAAAAAAAACCAAAAAGTCAAAAAGTCAACCCACTTTCCAAACTAGCCCTTAATATATAGAATAATTTGATAGTAGAATTTTTTTAAATATAAAAAACTTTAATAAAATTTTATTTTAATGTGATAAAATTAAAATTTATCATATTATTTTATATTTATTTTAAATATAGTTTTTTTTTATTATTTACATAACAAAAGGAAGAGAGAAAATATAGTCATTTAAATCTCATTTAACAAGTAATTATCTTAGTTATAAAATTAAAAAAATTCAACCCGTATAAAAAAGTTTAAAGATTTTTTTCTCATTCACTCTATAAAGTCAAATATTCCTTCTCATTTATAACTTTTTCATAAAAATTAAAAAATTCTTCTTAAATATATTAATTTTTTCACTTTATATTTTAATAAAAAATCATTAAAAAATGACTTCCTACACATACCCTCCAAACATTTTAGTGTAAAAATCTTTCAAAATGAGCAAGAGTGATAGACACATTAATCAAAATATCTAGGGCAAATTACAAACACTCCCTCGAGATTTAGTGAAAATACAAATTTTTTTCTGAGATTTGAAAAATTACATCCCGCCCCCTGAGGTTTATATTTTCATAACAAATTGCCCCTTGAGATTTTTATTTTCATACAAATTTCTCCTAATTTGTTAAGCAAATTTGACCTTCAAAGACAATTTATAATTTCTCAAACTTTAAAGAAAATTTTATATTATCACCAAATTTCGAGGGAATGTTTGTAATTTGCCCAAACATCTAGTTGTGTGTTTGCGTTTGTGAATTTTTTTGTTTATTTATTTTTTAATCTTTTGTTTGTGTAATTGGTGGGGGTGTAATGATGGGCTTGATGGCCATATGATTCATGAACAATCAGAAACTGGGGAGCATCTATTTACACACACACCTCTCTCTATACACATCTTCCACACACAACTCTCCAAAATATTTCTTCATTAAGTGTGTGTGAAAAGTGGATGTGGTGTGTGCAAATAGAACCTCCCCAGAAACTGACAACCCATAATTTCAACCTATATCTTCAACTATGATGTTGACGTATTGCACAGTAGACAGTGATATATAAATAAAAAAAGGGCAACAACATATACCAGTGGAGAAATAAAAAATTATTTAAAAAAAAATATAAAAAATTAATATTTATAAGATTTTTTATTTTTTTATAAATATTTTTCAATAATACCATGTCAGTGAAATTACTCCAATAAATCTTTTGTTTGTGTAATTGGTGGGGGGTGTAATGATGGGCTTGATGGCCATATGATTCATGAACAATCAGAAACTGACAACCCATAATTTCAACCTATATCTTCAACTATGATGTTGACGTATTGCACAGTAGACAGTGATATATAAATAAAAAAGGGCAACAACATATACCAGTGGAGAAATAAAAAATTATTTAAAAAAAATATTAAAAATTAATATTTATAAGATTTTTTATTTTTTTATAAATATTTTTCAATAATACCATGTCAGTGAAATTACTCCAATAAAATATATATATATATATATATAATGATATAATTATATTGAGATTTATCTTTTAAAACAAAATATTATTTAAATGAAACTAATTATAAAAATATCACTATCATTATCCTATCATTTTAATTATAAATTTTGTATAAATAATATTTTTCTTTTGAAGAATTGATAATTGAAATTCTTTATTTTAAAAAGTCTTGGTTGGTCCTCCAAGCACATGAAAAATGAATATATTATGTATAATTGATTGAGCACTATGAATGAAGGACATCATGTGCCGTTGACAATAATTTATGCAATTTGTTGAGTCACATTCTTGGATTGGATCAACACCCACCACCATCAACTTAAAATACAAAAGAATACCGGAAATAATTATTTTAGGAAGATGGTTAAAAGTTATTTTTTTGATTTTTTTAATTTTTTTTTAAAATGTGTAAAAAAATGTGAGAAATAATGTGACTCCACTTCCACCTATTTTGGGAAGATAATAAATAGTGATTTTTTGACTTTTAACCAAGCTTTGCCTTCTTTAGATAAATGATTTGGGAAGTTGATAAAAAGTTGTTTTTAACTTTTTTTATTAATATTTGTTTATGATGTCAAATCACAATAAAATGACCAAATTATTCCTATTTAATTTAAAATATTTACAACTTCACCCATATAACATATTTTGACTCATGAGAGGTAGAATTGTAATTTCACCATTGGCTAAAAACCAACTTCCCAAATAAAAAAAAGCCAAAAAAACCAACTTTTAAATTTTACTACAAACCAAAAAAAATGACTAAAAATTATATTCCCAAAAGAAACAATAAATTAAAAATTAAAAAATAATTTTTAATTATCTTCTCAAAATACTTCAAAGAGAAGTATCAAGCAAGCAATGAAAATGGATTGCCTCGTGGCCGTGTCTTTTTTTGAAAAGAGTTAGCTTTATTACCGGTTCACATAATGAATTAGAGTCTTTAATAATATATTAAAACTTTGTTGTCTAAAGTTTTGAGATTTATTATGGTATTCGTTTGTACTTTTCTTGGGTTGTTATAGGTTGCTATGTATAGGTCACTTAATAAAAATAATTAATTAATTAACTAATTCAAAAAAGTATAGGCCTGTGATTTTATTATTTTGAAAATAATAGATGTTTTATATTTTCATAACCATATTTATTGTCAAGAATAATGCTTGGGACCCCCTTTTGGGGGTCACCCCCTCACCCCCTTTGCCATGTGGCGGGTGGTGATAGGGGGAGCAGGAAAAAAAAGAAAAAGAAAAAGAAAAGGTAACCAATGAGAGAGAGAGGGGGTGGGAGGAAAAGGGGGATGAATCATTGTTGTATTGTCAATTTTTAAAAAATAACTACTGATCATGAAGTTACGATTATCAAATTAATATAATTATTTTTATAAATAGATGAAATCATAAAATTGAAACCCCTAATAAGTGGACAAAATTAGATGATACAATCCAATCCACATGAAAAGGACAAACATGGAATGAGGAGCTTACATTTGCAAGATAATGCAAGAAATAAGATTCTCTAACTTTTCCTACGATCCCCTTGATAATGCAAGGTTGGGGATCTTTCCTTTTGGTAGTTATGAGAGATCTGGTGCCGGTAGCTTCTCTGATTCGCGAATTTAGTACAATCAGACTCATCCACTGACTTCTGACTTTGATCTTATTTGGACACATACTATTTTAATAATTTTTTAATTTTTAAATTAAAATATGAGGTAAAAAAATTTGGTATATTTGAAATGATTTTTTAACTTTCTACGAAAAGATATACAAAAAATAAAAAGAAACAAAAATCTTTAATTTTTTAATGTAAGTTATAAATTTTTTAATTTTTTAACTTTTGAAATAAAACTGTTATATGCCAAAAAGAAATAAATAATTTTAAAAACAAACTATTTATTTTTTAAAAATAAATGTGATTAAATTATATAATTATAATTATCGAATCTAATCTTTTTTTTTTCCAAACATACAAGTTTTTTTTACCTACCTTTTTAGCCAAATAGCCAAAAAGCTACTAAATTAGCATGTTCCCAAACGAGGCCATAGAATAGTTATGAGCATGAGCTTTAGATCACCGACTTCCATACAACAACATAAAGATATACCACAAAATAACACCATCATGTTCTTCAACAGTTCTCTTCACTACTATGAACTTATTGAGGCACAAAAAAATTATCCTGTTCTTCCATCAATCCTAGAGAAAACTAATCAAGTCTGTAATTTAGAAATCATTATGTCTATTACAAAACTCACACGAACCGAACTGAGTCATCACCGGTATTCTTATTTTTTTCATTTTACAGATGAGGTTGTCTCCTTTAGCAGTGCATGCAACTTCCGGGTCTCATTCAAAACCGATTCCCTGTCAAAAAAAGCTGAAACAACCGCCACACCTTTTAGAGCCGCGACACCTATTTCCATCACAGCCCGTGCATTTGAAACTCCGATACCACCTATTGCAACCACTGGTAACTTTGAAGACAAACACACAGCTTTTAACCCTTCCAACCCAACAGTGATATTGTTTGCTTTCGTGTTGGTTGAATATACACCGCCACAACCAATGTAATCAGCACCATCAACCCACGCTTGATGAGCTTGCTCTGGCGTTTTGCATGACACACCAATGATCTTTTCGGGCCCAAGAAGAGTGCGAGCAATACTAGCAGGCGTGTCAGACTGACCAACGTGCACGCCATCAGCATCACAAGCAAGGGCAATGTCAATTCTGTCGTTTATCAGCAGAGGAACACCATAGGCACGGCAAATTTCAACACATGCCTTGGCTGATTCAAGAAAATCTCGCGTTTCAGCTTCCTTTTCCCTTCAAACATGAAAAGGAGACAAAATAGTCATCGCTACGAAATCTAATGTCCATTTATGGGTCAATCTAGGTTTTCAAATGCAGTTGTAGACCTGAGAAGCCCTTCAAATATTTGTTCTCCCAATCTTTCCTCATTAGGTTCCTCATTAGGTAGCTCTGTGGAACTTCATCCCATATAATTTAAATTGATCCATAACCGATGCAATTTAAATAGATGAGCTTTGAAAAGTGCAAGGAAATATTGTTCAAAGATATGGAAGACAACATTTTTGATAAGATGAGACATGCACAATGCATCAACAAATTTTGTTGAAGCATGTTTTTAGTTTGGTAATTTTTTCATAACCAGAAATAATAAAAATATGATTCCATCTGAAAATATGCTTCTTTAATTTAAAAATTCAATGGTTTTTGAAACAACACATCTTAGATATTTTTAAATTTTGTTATACCTTAAGAAAATATTTTAAAACTACTTTGTAACGACCTAAAAAATTTAAAAAAAAAAAATCAATGGTGGTACAGAAAACATAGAAGGTAGTTCTAGATAACAACATGGAATTAGTTGCATGCATGCAATATATTAAATTAATAATAAAACTTGTATACAAGGCCTCCATGAACCATTGGAAGTTTTGAGAATGTCTAAACTAGTTAGAAATCATGACGTACATAGAAATACTAATTTTGAAGAAAGAATAATAATAATAAATGCACAACAAGAGCTACGAACCTCAGCTGGACAATGGTGGCACCTCCTTCTATGGCAGCTTTGACAGCATCTGTGATGGAACGACCCCACTTTTTGTTCATCCCCGAATCAGTAACAGCATACAAGAAGAGATCACTTGGGTCAAACACCTGTGGTCTACATGAATTGTGGACATTACTCTTGAGCTTTAATAGATGATCAAAAGGACCCTGAAGCCCGTTTCCAATGGCAATGTCTTTGCTGTAATCCAAGGCAGATCCAACATAGCGTTTAGCTACCTATGAGGAGTCAGATAAAATAAATATTAAGAATAGATGATCCAGTTTTTTTTTTTTTTTTTTTTGGGGGGGGGGGAAGAGTTTTAAGAACAAGCAACAACATTCAGGAACATTAACTCAAAAAACATGTAAACATGAGCAGTCAAATAGTGCATCAGTCAGATAGTGACAACTATCACAAAGCAAATGGCAACAAAAGCAATCCTGAATATGGAACCCGCTACACGGATCTGTTTTCAATTTTTTTTACCCTGCCAAAGGTCTTTTCATATATTAAGTTATAGGCCAGTTATCTGCTGAAAATGCCACTCTTTCTTTCTGGTTTGACAGAGTGAGGGCAATAAGCTTAATCAAGTGATCAATTAAGCTTTGGATGTAACTTGGGTCTATGTCAACGGTGAAACTAAACTCAAAACCACCGTTATTACATTCAAAAACAAAAATTGCAGCCTTATTTATTTTTTTGGTGCAATGCACACATAACTGTTAGAAGTTCCAGAAATACAAACATGAGCCCGCTATATGGATCTGTATTCAATTTTTTTTACCCTGCCAAAGGTCTTTTCATATATTAAGTTATAGGCCAGTTATCTGCTGAAAATGCCACTCTATCTTTCTGGTTTGACTGAGTGAGGGCAATAAGCTTAATCAAGTGATCAATTAAGCTTTGGATGTAACTTGGGTCTATGTCAACAGTGAAACTGAACTCAAAACCACCATTATTACATTCAAAAACAAAAATTGCAGCCTTATTTATTTTTTTGGTGCAATGCACACATAACTGTTAGAAGTTCCATAAATACAAACATTTAATAGATTACCTTAACAGCTGATAGCATTAAAGAACCTTTTGCAAGCTCAGCCGCTATACACGAAGCCAAAGTGCAGCCAGTTCCATGAGTATTCCGAGTTCTTACACGTGGTGAACGCAGCTCATAGAAATTATCTCCTAGAAGATCATATCAAGAAATCAAATTAGCAAAAGACACCGCCTAGAGATACACACAGTTAGGACTCAAAAATCCCAATGAATACATTAAGCATACCATCAAAAAAAATATCAACAGCATCCAATGAAGAAGCGAGGTCACCTCCTTTGACAAGTACATTTCTGAAAACAAAAACAAAGCTGTTACGAATTACAATTCTTCTTCTTGTCTAGTCTTTGTAAAACAAATCTGCTCTAAGAAATAAAAGAGCAAGCCCATATGTACACATTGACTATGCAAACTCAAAGTTAAACCTGCCTCTCACAGTGTCTAGCATGACACTTAAACCTCCCTCTCACAAATCACAATTGGCATTCATATCTTTATCATTGCCCAAACTTCTACTAATAGACTCTACTAAATCTATGAGAAAGGTGACGTGTCAATTACCTTCACAAAGACTAGATAAGTGTCGTGTCAATAAATTCAAGGCTAAAGTGACTTGGTGCCAAACAACAAGGTGTCAACATATAATTTTTCCTACTTTTGGAGGGATTGTGGAAAAGTTTGGCAGCTTCTGTTAAGCCTAACTCAAAAAGAATAAAAACTCAAATGCAAAGCACTAACCGTGGACCCATGTCATGGATAGATTTTGCAGCAGAACGCATGTCGTCGACTGTTTCCAATTGAACACCACCAAGTAAAGCAGATGCTTCTTTTAAATTTGGAGTTACAATGTCAGCCATGGGAAAAAGATCCTCCCTGCAATCAGAAATCAAAACAAACAAACAAAAACAAAAATCAGATAGATTTCCCACAAGAGTACCATGGTCTTTCTGAAGATTTTCCACCACATAATTGTATTAATAAGAGAAAATGAAAATGTACCTAATTTATTATTAGATATGAAAAACCCTTTTTCCATTACCGACACCCACTCAGTCCTCCCCATGATCTTTACCAAACAGTTTAAAATTGAACTATGGCTTCAAGCTGCAGAAGGCTATATAAAGAAAAGCTTCTTCCCTAAATCCTTGAGGCCGACTGTCAACCTTATCTGTCCTAAGAATGACCTTCTCAACAAATATTTTTCAATACAAAGACCATACCTAGTATAAAAAGGATTATCGTCCCAAATAGTCAAATGATGCAAGAAGAACCACTGCCCACACTCACAATCCTAATAGCAGCTTCAACCACTACAATATTCGAAGGGCTAACATGGGACTCCACACTCATAATCCCTACAGCTCTAGCAGTGATGAAACTTGAAAGGGTGGAAAAAATTGCCCCTTAAAAATCATTAATGTACATGGACAACTATTTTTCCATCAACCGTGACATAGTTTAAAGTGCATCAATCAACATAATTCTATTCTTGCTTCCCTGAATATGGTAACTACTTTCTGATCCTCAAATTGGATATAAAGAAAAAGGCATACACAAGGAATCGGTTAGCGAGTCACATAGAAGTAAGCAAAACAAGTTGATGGAACTACAAAATTTAAGCATGCAAATAACCATAAATGTACTTGAATATAAAAGCATACCGAAATCCAGCAAGAATGGAAGGTCCAGCCAGTACATCTCCACTTGTAGATACCATTACAGGGTCAACAACTAAAGCTGCCTTCAAAGGTTCAATTAAGTCGACTCAAAAACTATTACAATTGCAACCAGGAAAACAGTACCATGACATACCTCTAACTGGGAACTGCTTGAGACAGTGATGAAGAACCTTCACTATGCCAATGGAAGGAAGCATGCCTGTTTTCACCTAACATCATTACATATTACATCACACTCAACACTTACAATAATATCCACAAAATAATGTTAACTCAGGAGTGATGTCCATGTTGCATGCATATTGTAGGTTTTACTAATTTACCATGCCAATACATCTATATCTATATTATTTATATGTAAATGCATTCTAAGCCAAGAACTAGGTGCTGCTATCTAAACTCTTATCATGTAAATCACGGTACGGATTCAATACTCTAGTCTCTACTGCACAAGAACCTTGTATGCCTAACATGTAAGCGCGAAACTCAATAGATTTGACAATACAACTGAATTGCTTACAAATGAATCAATAGCCAATGGGTGCAATGCAATAAAAGACAAACCAAACAAATCTACACAATTCAAATGAATCAACACACTTGCCAATCATTGATATCAGACTTACAATATCAACATTCATGTCAGACAGCACGGACTTTAATTGCTCTGCAACAAAATCCTCGGGCACCATGTTCACACCCTGACAACGAAATTACATGCTTGAACATTCATACAAACTTTAAAATAAAAAATTCAAACAATAACTCTTCGTCTCTATGGTTTTGGGTGTTTGAAAATGCTATCAGACCTGAACTCCAATGGTGTTCTGAGCAGTGACAGCTGTGATCACAGTGGAACAGTACACTCCACGGGCGGCACAAGCCTTGAGATCAGCTTGAATTCCAGCACCAGCTCCAGAATCAGAACCAGCAACAGTCAGAACATGCGGAATTCTTAACTTAGTGTTATCTTCTTGCATTGCAACAATACAAGGTACTTGGTGAATTGTTGAATTTGCAAACAAGTAGCCCAAAACCCTAGATTGACCAAACCCTTTTGAGGAAACTTGGGTTGCGCTTAGTGGCGAACAATTCTGACAAAATTATCCAAATTCAAAGCTTTTTAAGTACATTTACACGCTCATGTATACAAACCAACAATCAAATTGAGTCAAAAGCAAAATAAACTAGCCCCTTTTATGATTATCGATAGAAATAAGTAAATAAATAAATCAACATTGCTGTTCAGTGTATTCCGAGAGAACTTTACTTTATTTTCCCTGATTTTCTCGGGAAACAAAAGGAAAATTTGCAGTGAGAAAGTGAAAGAGACGGGGGTGTAAGGATGGTGATTATACCTTGGGGAAGAAAAGGGAACTGGGGAGGATTTGGGAACGGTCGTAGTGGCCCATGTGAGGAAGAGAGGCTAGAGATTGGTCAGCTTAGTGGGTGTTTGTTTGTAGAATTGAAATGGGGATTGGACTAGTTTGTTGTTTGGTTGAAAAAATGTACACTATGGTTCGTTTTAGGGATGGCAATTTAAATCCGGTTTGACAGAGACTCGCCCCTCGCTCTTGATAAGAGTGATTTTTTTTTAAAAAAAATACCCCCCGACGGGCCGGGGATAGTATTCAAAAATAAATTCACGGTGACATTCGGGCGGGGACGGTGATACATGTTTCATCCTTGGTCCCGGCCCTGTCCCTCGCTCTGGTTAGCCCCGATTTATATATATATATATATGTATGTATTTAGGGTTTGGTTGACTTATACTACAGTTGCTCCTCTCTCTGATCTATCTCTCTTACACTCTCTCTCTCTCTCTTCTCTTCTCTCAACAGACGCAATCGACTCCTCCAGTCCACCACTGCCTCCTCCTCCTCCGTCGCCTCTTGCGGCCTCGTCCTCCGTCGGCTCCTCTTCCGCCAGGCCACCATCAAACCTTCATACTCCGTCACCTTTCGCTTCCTCCTCCCTCTGCCACGGCAGATCTAAAAAGATCCCGCCATCGCCACCATTGATTTCCTCCCTCCCGCCAGATCTGTCTCTATTTTTTTATTTTTTATTTGATGATGTTTTTGTTGATGATCAATGATGTTGTTGTTGATGATCGATGATGTTGTTGATAATGATTTGTTATTAAGAGAGAAAGCTAAACACAGAGAGAGAGAGTTACAGGGATTTTCCGGGGTTGGGGAAACCCGATCCCCTTTGGAGGCGGGGCCGGGGGGTGAGGGGTTCCCCGTCGGGGATCGAGAACGGGAGGGTGATCCCTGGCCCTGCCCCGTCCTGTTGCCATTCCTAGTTCGTTTGGTATTTACATGTTTTATTTAAAATGTTAAAAATTCATATCATTTTTTATATTTTTTTTTACTTTTTTTTTGTATAATGTTAAAAAATTATTAAAATAATTTATTCCCAAAACGATACCTAAATAGTTGATCGGATGGGTGGGATATACAGTTCTTAGACAAGACTTCTTTAGATTAGCTAATAAAAAAATAATCAGTATATTACATTTACACTATTTGATATTTGGATTTAATACATATCACTCCATTATGTTTAGAAAATTATATTAATCTCCTATTATTGTAATTATTTAGACGGAATGACGATATTGAACTCATGTACTTTCTCATTTCTTACTCTGTTTTATTTTCTTTATTTTTTTCTTCTTCTTTTCCTTTGTTTTATTTTTTTCAATGTAATTTCCTCTTTTTTTTTTTTTTTTCTTTCTATTAGGAGTTGTTCTTTTTTATATGAAGTAAGGGTTTGTGAAATGAGACTATCAACCACAATATGAAAATGTAATTTTCATAACGTCAAGGGGTGGAATGTAATTTGACCAAACTTCATGAGATGTCAATATAATTTAACCAAAATTTTCCTCCAAATATTTAGAACATGTTTGGTTTAATTTTTTGAATTTAATTTAATTTTTTTAAAATAAAATATTAGTTTTGTGAAAAAAATTAAAATTTAAAAATAGTTATTTTTTGATATTTATCTCATGATTAAACAAATATGTGATACATATTATTTTCAACAAAATAATCAAAAACTATGTATTTCAAAATTAACAATCCAATAGATTACAATCCCCTCATCTAAGCCGTCCAAATAAACATGCCCTAAATGTCAACTAGTCTCATTATATAGATTTAAATATCATTAAGGTCTCGTTTGGTAACTAAATATTTTAACCAAAAAGTAAAAAAAAAAAAAAATTATAAGTTATCACATCACTCTCTTTATTTTTTTGAATATATTTTCGTATAAAACTAAAAAATTTCTAAAATAGTATGTTCTTAAACGAGACATAAGTCTTATTTACTTTTGTAATGCACTAATAAGTCTTGTTCTCATTAAATTATTATTTATAAAATTATCGGTAGTGCTACATACATTAATTAATGTACACACTAGTATATCAACTAGTTTATTTCATTATTACTGACCCCACCTATTATACAAATTATAAATATCCAAAATCTCTAAGATTATACCACATCATCTGTTAGTATACTAGTTATTAGTGGCGGAGCCACCATGTGACCAGGGAGGCCACGTGCCCCCCTTGGATTTTTTTTTTTCACATATGCATATGATCAAATTTTAAACAAAACAAAATATTTAAAATAAAATGTCAAGGGCATTTTTAAATTTATGAAAACAATAGTGATTGTTTTATTGAAAATGAAGTGACTATAACAAATTATAGTTTTATGTATGAAAAATTTGATTTTTATGAATGAAAATTTTGTGAAAAAATCTCAATATAAAGGTATAATATCCATCATTATTGATATGCAATATAATTATTCTCACTATATATATGTAAAAATTACTAGAGTATTTGTTATATTTATATGTGGAGTTCACCCTTCATATGTTGTTTAACTATTGGTTGGTGATATCATATGTCAATAATGATGTGTTGTCACTATTATATGAAATTTTAACTCAAATTTTGTAAAAATTTGATTTATCTTACCATTATATAATTTATTTTACGACTTAAATATATAAATTTTTTACATTATCCATGATACACTAGTTCTACGCAATACTTTCTTTTCGATTTTACTCGAAGTTAATTGTGAAATATTTTTGTAATAATTTATTTAAGTTTTTGTACTTAATATTAATTCAAAAATTATTATTATCTTCTTATTTTTGGTTATGGAAAAAAAAATTATAGTTGTAATTTATAGCGATCCCGGTTTCCCTTTTCTTAATTGTTGTATCCGGACTTAGGTTCCGTGGAGTTGGTTGTTGTGTATACCTTATTCACATCCTTTCTTACTTTGTATCTAAGTTACAGGATGTGTTGGGCAGGTTTGTTACAGGTTGGTTGAGGTTTAGAAACCAAAACTAGTTGCCCAGATTTTGACCTGTCCGCTCGAGCGGGAGTTTTGGGGCTCGAGCGGGAAAAACACCAATCCAGTATCTCCTCTGTAGTGTTGTACGCTCGAGCGGCGGTTGTGACGCTCGAGCGGGAGTGTGTGAGTGCCGCTCGAGCGGGGAGTTGGACGCTCGAGCGGGAGACCTGTCTGCACAAGTGCTGGGAGTGTGCATCCGACGCTCGAGCGGGAGTTTGGCCGCTCGAGCGGGAGTCTGTGAGTGACGCTCGAGCGGGGGTTTGGCCGCTCAAGCGGGGCGACTGGGTTAAAGCTCTGTGTTTTGACTTTTTAAATCACTTTTTCCATTTCTCTTCTCTCTCTTACTTTTCCAAAAACACCATTGTTGAGCTTCTTACTCTAGAGCTCTACCTTCTCTCTAGGTATTGATCTAGTAGGAGTGATTTCCTCACCTTTGGCTTTTACAAAAAAGTTGTTGATCGTCGAGGGCTATCTTTTGATCCGAAAAGTTCGTGGTTTGGAGCATTTTCGTTTCCATCATCTTCTTGGTTGGGTGTCATTCTTTGAGGTAGGGATAACCTACTCCTCACTATGGGTTTTGTCTTTAAATTTTAGCATTTTGAGATGTTGGGGTTGGGTTGGTAATGTTGTGAAAGTTTGGGGCTTTGTGTAAATTTATGAAAGTTGGGGTTTTAGCTATATAAAACCTAGATGCATGTTTGCAATGGAAAAGTGAAATTAATGTTAAGACATTAATGAAAATGGAACCTAAGGATTGTAATGTTAATTATGGAAAATGCCCTAATTACATTAGTTAATTAATTCGCATAATTAATTATGAGGAATGAGAAATTGATTTGGAAATGTTTGGAATTAAAGGGGTGTAGTTGGATTATTTATCACTCACCCGGTTGAAATGTTGATTATATATCCATTGTTGCATTTATTTTCTGTATAGAAATAACTGCTTTGGGCTATCGGTGGAGGATAGTCTTGATTGTTGTAGACAATGCATGATGATTAGGCAAACTGAAACTAATCACTGGAATGTGTCATTGGGTATGACGGTTGAAAGAATACATTAAATTTATGTGTTGTGTGATGATGTGTATAATCATTGTTTATATGCATTGTGTCGTGTTGGAGGAGATATGGGATGTACTCCACAGTTTAGGGGATGATAGGGGATGGACCTCTAAACCGGATGTTGTTGGGAGAAGATAGGGGATGGACTCCAAAGATAGAGCTCATATGCTTATCTAGTAATGTGTTGACATAGCTTATATGCTTGTCTTTGGAAGTGTGATAGTGCTCTTATGCATATCTATGGAAGTGATGATATAGCTTGTATGCTTATCTGTTGATGTGTTGATACAGCTAGTACGCTTATCTAATATGAATTGGGAAGAAGTTTAATATGAGTTACTGTCTCATATAAGTTGTTTGGCCAGGTTCTGAGCCATGGTTATAAATTGAGAATTGAAAAGAATTGGAAAATGGATTGTAACATGGACTTGTATGTCATGAAACTGTAAAGTGTGATAAGGGAAAGTATCAGTGTTGGCCAACTATCAACTGCTAATCTTTTAGTCATTGTTCATATTTGGTTTAGTGTATTTCTACTGGGCTGTGGCTCACCCTATATGGGAATATCATTTTCAGGTACAGGTAGCATGCCACCTCCAAGGACGTAGCTTGGGAGGCTTGAGGCGGGCAGACTTTTGTTGTTTAGTTTCTTTGATGTATTACATGTATATTCAAGCCAAGGGCTTAATGTGTAAATGAGTTAGCACTCTTTTATTGTAACCAAGTGTTAACTTGGAAAGCTGTAAGCCTTTAGGGCATTTGCTTTTGTCGTTAACATGTAATACTTTTTGGTAATGGAACTCTGATGAATAGAAGATGTGGAACTTTTATATATCAATGCATGTCTATATTGATGGGTTTAATGTTTTTTTTTTTAGGGCGTTACATAATTAATAAGTGTCCCTCTTGATTTAGTTTCCTGATTTTGCTACTAGGGACAGAGGTGGAATTTGTGGGCAGGGGCAGGGGCAGGAGCAGGAGCAGGGGCAAGGAATGGGAAACCGCCCTGTGGCCATCCCTAGAAAAGACAAAAAGAAAGAAAACAAGGGAAAATATTTTTTGAGGTT